AAACCGCGAATAGATCCCACGGACTCTGAAGAAGATGAACTACTCCAGACAGCAGGTGGTAGGTGACATCGGGGAACGAATGAGTGGGGCAACAAGATACGAGGAATGGGAATGGTAATACACGGGAATAAAGAACGGAGACATGCTGGATATAAATATGACAGTGTAACGATAGTTTATGGTCCTCCCATCCTTTCTTCTATTCTAAGGGCCACCTTAAATCTTTCTGTCGCTCTTCACTCCCTAAGGAACCAAGCCCCCCAACCCACCCCCGCTATCCTCTCTACGCTAAAGTAATACGTGTACAGTCTAAAGTAAAAGTGAACTTGTGTTATGGCTTATGTAGTTATTTAGTGCTTACAAGATGGACAAGAAGGCATAAGGCGCACAGCTCTATGGGCAATTTATTCCGCTTTATGAATACTTAGACCATGGACGGCTACTAAAAGGCAAGTGAAAATACATATTAAGCATCCATTATGACGTATCACACCATGAAATACCTTTTCTTTTATGAATGTTTAGTCCAACTATTCATTTCGCGAAATTAAATATTAATCTAAATCAAATAATTTACGTAAGATTTCAAGCTTTCGCGGCTATGAGTATAAAAATGGCAGATACTGACAGACATTTCTGAGAAGCATCCTGCGTCCATCATCAGGGCAATCATCTTTAAAATATTTTGCTTTTACCAAAATACTGTAGTTTTAACAAGGTAAATATTATAACCACGAGCCGGAATAACTTGGTGCTTCGTTATCGTCTGGACGCTCGTGGTCCGAATCCCAGCAGGGGCGCACGTTTTTCTCCAGGTGATCACTGTAAATGAGTGCGGTGGGTTGTTACCATCTACTACTTACCATCTCCCATTCGCGGTTGTTAAGTTGGGAAATGGACAATGTCATCCTTTACATCTATTACAAGCAAACTGAATTTTTTTAGCGGCCCGTGCTCTTAATTACTGACAGCTCATTTAACACATTACACCAACATCCTGGATGCGCCTGCGATATTCTGTGGGGAGGAACACGAAAATAAGGCATAACGCATAATATATCGACGACCTGTTTCCATTAAATCTCATCCTAATTGAACGAACAATTAAACAGATTCCATATACAACTCTACAGTCCTGATTTCCGAACGCCCCACAAGGCACACATAAATTCTTACTTGAAACCACTAAACAATTTTTTACGTATTTTTAAAGCACCTACTTCAATCCATCCCTGACTTTACAGATGAGAAGTGGCATGGAGGCTGGAGGTGAGGGGAAGGGGGGTACAAGGAAGCAGAGCGGAGGTGGGGGAAGTTTAATCCCAGAGCTGTGGGACCTTAGCAACTCCCAACACATTAAAGTTAAGCAGAGCAGATCTCAAGGGGTCCCGTGGGGCAACCATTAATGACTGCTGGGGATTGGGAAGGTTCAAGCAAAGCAAGAGGGCCCAAAGTTACATATGCAAAGGTAAGACGAAGGAAACTGAAGACTATGGAAACAAAGAGAAGGGTGAAGATGGAGGGTACAGATTCTTTTCCTGCTAACCTCCTTCCTCACCCTCTTGTCCTTTTGTCCTCTCTCCACCTACACCCTATTTCACCCCTCCTATCTTCGTCTTACCTTCTGTCTCAGGAAATCTTTTTGTAGATGCATTTACTTACTTTGCATAAATCTCAGAACCATTATTACATGGTGCTATTTCTTTTGAGTCTCTCTCTTTCACTCAAAGGGGAATCTAGAACTGGTATTCTAGGGTCACGGGAGAAGGTGAAATGAGCTTTGAGATTTCTTGCTCCTGGAGTCCCACCAGCACGCTCTGCATTGTTTTGACTATGACATCAATCCTCACAACTCCCCCTGAGAGGTAAAGGTGTATGTACCTTTTCCATATATATTTTTGTGCGAATGTTTACAGCAGCGAAGAAAGATAGAAGAATTCCAAAAAGAAATCCACATTTCCTTTTTAGTTCCACATACAAATCAGTTTGGTTTCAAATGCCTTACATTTAAGACAATTACCCTTTGAGTCAATGTTCAGATAAAATTATAACAAATAACAATTCTGAGGGTCAAGAAATAAAACGTAAATATTTTAAATTTGAAAATAAATACAAGGAAGCTGAATGCGGCATTTTGGGTTGTGACAATGAGTAATAATTTAATGGCTTCTAGTTTTCAGAGAAATGTGCTGCCTCCATCTTCAGGATCAAAGGATTCTAGACGGTGTCACAACTCAGACGACCACAATGAACATCTTCACCACCACAGAACCAAAAATCTCTTTTTGAAAAAAAAAGAGTGTTTCAAGTAATACGTTAATTCCTAGTCTAAATTGCTACCAAAAAATCATGATGTAGAGGAAATCTTTGGGAGAATCCAGTTCAGAAGCAAAAGTAATCAGAAAGCAGTGGGCATGTATGGAATTTTTACAAATGCATTTAAAAGACAGAATAACTTTTGTACGTTAATGTAATCTGTAACCATTAATCAGGTTTAGAAAATAGTGACGTCATTATGAACATTGATGTCTTATAGAACACAGAATATTTAATTATATGTAGGTTGGAAAAAAAATGTGATCAGGGAACATCTATTCTTGTTATTTTTGACATCCTTAAACTTAAAAGCATAACCATTGTTTAATATGATGCATGGCAATGCACTGTGATAAGCTTTTGCAAGATAAGAGAATGGTTTCGAATCATTAACTGAAAACCATGTGGCAGAAAAGAAATACCAATAGATGTTTAGCAATTTCATATAAGCATTAAGATTAAGCAGGCGACCAGGGTTCAATCTCCGACGGGGACAGAGGATTCTTTTTCTCTAGCCTCTGCGTCCAGGCCGGCTCTGTGGCCCCCCCAGCCTCCTATCCAATGGGTACCAGGGTCGTTTCCCGGGGGTAAAGCGTGGCCTGGGCGTGATGCTGACCACTCACCCCCCTCTAGTGCCAAGGTCATGGCGTATAGTGGGACAGCTTTACTTTACTTTTATTATGATTAAGCTACTGTGTCTTCAATGACTACCTCAATTATTTACCTCATTAAATGGTACGTTTTTCATTTCTTAAAGGTATGCATATAGATACTGGAGTGACAGAACACATATCAGACAATTTTTATGGAAATATAAGATCAGTTAATGTTGTATCACTTAATATTAAGTCTCCCAGGAACACAAACCCAACGTCAACTGACCAGTGTCAGACATTTGTGATTATAAAATAAAAACGGTTATTTTCTGATTCAGAAATCTCTACTTCTGTTAAACCCACATCAAATTGAAAATGCATTATAAAACACAAAACCAAATAGAATAAAGGCTCAGACGTCACACATTATACACCTTCCACGCAGAGCAGTTCTTCAGAAAATGACTTCATACAACCAATCTGAGTTGAAAGATCCATTTCATTATAATTATCTGCGTTCTCATTCCAATGGCCAAATACTTTAACGGACATAACTAAGGATGAGCCAACAATGAAACTGTGGTTATGAATACTGTCCAAACAACGTGTATTTTCATCATCATCTGTACTACTGACTGTCATAATCCTACCGACCTGGGGATTCCGCCATAAGCCAAGTCATGCAGACATATCACACTAAAGAATCCTGAAATCATCCTCAGGATTAAGTGAAATCAGGGAAAAAGCCCCTAGGAAATAAAAAATTATTTGTAGCGGTGATTCTTATTCTTTTTCTTTCTTTATGACCCCATGTTTGAGGAAACAGGGTGCCTCACAATACCTTCGCTGGTTCTAATAAACCTAACAAATTCCTTTGATTCAAAGGTGACATCATGTTTTGAATTTTGTATTTTTACAACACTTTGCAGTCCAAAAATGTTCATAAGTGGGACAAAACACACAAATTGGGAAACACCCATGTAGACTGAGAAAATTACACAGGATTAATATAGTTCTGCTTACATAAAAAAATTAAGATATGGCAGAAGAGTTTCCCACTGAAAACAAGTACACGCATTGGTAAAACAATTACTTCTTGCTCGAAGAGAACTGTGTGGCACTGAGGGACCTAACTGGAATCTGCCTTGTGCACTGACCTCCTTATTGGTATACAGCATGGGATAAGTTAGCTCATTTTACATGAGAAACCAGGCCATAGCAGAAACCCCAAACCAGGAGAATTTTGGCAAATAGGTAAAGTAGGTAGGATTTGTCCCCATCATTCACTGAACTTAAATAATACCTTAATCTACAAAGCCATTTCAACCAGCAAAATGTGAATTTTAAATTCTTATCTCACACAGCTTATTATATGTTTCAATTGAAGTATGACCAGTTCACTCAGAATTGTGCCTGATTACAGACTGGATGACCAGAATTTGATTCCTGGCATGTGCAAATGACTGTTCCTCTCCTCCAGCCTCTGCATCCAGACTGGCTCTGAGACTCATTCAGCTTCCTACCCAATGGGTTCTCAGGGTCCTTTCCCCAGGAGTAAAGCGCAGCTGGGGAGTGATGCAGACCACTTACCCCCATCTAGTGCTGAGATCAACAATGAGTAGATGCTACAACTCCCCCCCCCCTCAAACACCACCATGGCACACAGCAGGACAAATTCACTTTACTTTAAGTACAAAACATAACATATACATTCCTGCATCATTTAGCTTCTCATACCTGCCACTCTAAAAATTTCTGAAAATGTCCCAAACATAATTTTGAAACATGTCAGCTTACAACAAAGGTACCCATGTTATGATATATTAACATACTGTACAACATTTAAAGTTTCAGTCTAAAACAAATTGTTTCCCGATTCTTCGAAAATTACAAATTTTAGGGAGGAAAGGCAGCACAGTATCTAAAACCATAGGTGGTCTTTATCTTTCTCATTACAGTTTAAAAAGTAACACATTTATATGAGATATAATTTTGTCAAGTCTTAAGGCATAAATACCCAATAAATCACCAAAACATGCATTGGATAAACAACTATTAGTGACAAAGATTTAATAACATGTTCCTTACCTTCTGGATCAATGCAGAAAGTGGTGTCATTACATCTTGCTCAACAAGCAAATTACAAATCTCATGACTTCCACATGCACTCAAATTTCTGAAAATAAAACAAACAAAAAACCCACATCATAATGTACCTTGATGACAAAGGAAATTAACACAATTTGTGTAATATATTTTGTACTGTTTTGAATATCAAAATTGGAGAAGAGCTACAGTACATATTGTGAAAGGTCAGAATTTATTGTGGTATGTCAAAAATGCTTCTACTATGAAGCCAAGGAACATTTAATTTAACCTTCATTTGTCATGCACAGTCCAGCTGGCTGTGTGATACGGTAAAATACTGCTATATTGTTAAACCCCCATGGTAGCAGTCCTGAAAGTACAGAGACTTAAATCCCCTATTCTCATACAAAGAAGTTTGAAAAGTATGCCATACATTTTTTGGGAGGGCTCAGTTTTATAACTAGTGACCTGGAATACTAAAACATCTCTAGGACAATTAATATTTTACAATACGATGACTTGCAGATTGTCAGCCGTGTCGGTTTAGCTAGTGAAGAAACCGCCAACATTCCGAGAACTATGCTGTTCTCATCCTCAGGGCACTGGTGTGGCTGTAGAAACAGGCCGCGACTTATGTGCTTGCCTAAGCCTTGTATTCCTGACTGCGAGCTAGCCAATGGCTACAAGGCTCGGACAAGCACATAAGTCGCGGCCTGTTTCTACAGCCACACCAGTGCCCTGAGGATGAGAACAGCATAGTTCTCAGAATGTTGGCAGTTTCTTCACCAGCTCAACCAACATGGCTGACAACCCACAAGTCATCATATTATTAAAATTGCAGTGAAAACTTTAAATTTTGCAATATTTTACAAGTTGGTTAGAAAGTCACCTCATTCAGACTTGATCGTTCTGTACCATCCACCCTCATTAACACACTGAGGACTTCGAGTCAAACTTAGTTCTGTGTAAACACATAACCAAAAATAATTTCAACCCCTGCAAACATATGATGTTTATAACAGAGGCTGTATTCATGTATGAGTTTGTACAGGGAGGTAAATAGCAAACTTTTGGAGGATTTTAGGTAGTTTTGAGCAGTTCAATTCTCACTCCACCACAACAATAACAATAACAAAGTATACAATGCATAGAACTTAATCTCTATGCCCTCTATATGCCTTCATGGTTGTATGTTTAAATACAGAAGAAACATAACTTTTTTTAATATAATGCTAGATAGTTCTGAACACTAACAAATTTCAATGTAAATGACAAAGTTGAAAATTGAACTCCAGATATTTTCATGTAGTCTGGACAACAGAGATGAGTATATCCCAGTACCTGATTGCTCCAGCAGCAGCATTCCTAACTGTTGTACTCTGGTCAAACAGCAGTGGGGCAGCTACTTTCACTACTTTATGCTTCATAACATCTTCCACAGATTCAGGAACATCAAACACAGTAGCTAACATGTGTAGTCCAATAATTTTGTCTTCTGCATTTGGAGACTGTAACTGTAAAAAAAAATATATACGTAATTCATAATGCCCATGGCATAATGAGAGCTTAACTGTCTTTCTTACTACCAAGGAACTTTATACCACATCACCAAACACAATGTTAAAAGTGTTACGAAATATTATCTTTAAAAATAACTTTAGAAACAATTAACATCTTCTTATAACATATTTCCATTCACATTTAATCTGAACATTTTCCTAACAAGAGTTTTTACAGACCATTTCTAAAGAACGTGGACCAGATTTACAGTTGTCAGAGCCCCAGGTCAATGAAAATATGGAGGCCCCTATCAGTAACAACAAATTTAGTTCATATTGTATTTATAAATAAACATTAATGATGCATGAATAAGTATAATGTAATCATGTGATTGGTTTCCACCGATGACTGCCTGGTAGCGTTTCGTCGTAAAAAACCTTGGATTTTATGGGAGGGGGATCGTTTTGTGGAATCCCCAGAACAATCGCACTGGTTATTATAAAATGTCCAATGATTCTAAACTTTCTTTCTGCATGGTTCTACCTTACACACATACCATTTCAAGCAGATTCTGAATTGTAGATTCATGTTCAGACATGTGGTCTGCATCTCCACCACCAAACTCACTTTCCTCCCGTTCAATATCTCGAACGCTGGGAAGACCAGTTGGATTTTTAGCTTTCGTCCTCACTTTATTACGCTTAGACTTGCCCATTTTGTATGTGCTGGTTTCAATATCAAATCAGTATATCATTCAATTTACGCAGTAAAATTCACTTCTGAAGCACATGTCACACACGAGGTAGCCATATTCCTATGGCCAATGCTTCTCAGGGCTGACAACATATGCCTAGAAACATGTAACGTGGAGTGATGTAGAAGATAAGGGCTGTTCGTGCGATCGTACAAGTGGTAATACTGCAAGCGACAACACGCGAACGCCTGTGGCGCGAGCCTTCAGTATGAAAATGGAGCTTGTGGAAGAAATGTATTTTTCAGAGAATAGTTTGCTGAAATTTTTAGTAGCTGGAAGGAACGCAAGATGTTGGGCGAATGATATATACTAAGTCAGAAGTGAAAGTGAATTTCACACACTATTTGATAAACTGCACTTGCAACCAACCAAATTTCCTGACTATTACAGAATGTCGTTGAATACATACCAATACACATTAAATGCTATTGAGATAGCAATAAAAAAGCAGAGTCATTTCCGAGACTGTACTTCACCATCAGAACGGTTAACAGTGGCACTGAGGTAAGATTTTTCCTTTAAAGGTTACTCAATAAGTGTATTGAAACTGAACCAGATAAAGCTGATTTAATCGTAAAGTGCATATGCTTGTTACATAATATTACTATGAAAAAAGAAGGTATTTATGATCCAACCATCACATCGTCGACACCACAAAATGTAAACAAATCACTATCAAATAATAGGGCAGCACAACAGGTTTGTGACATCAGAAATGCTTTTAAAAACTATTCTAACTTAGCAAAGGTATCATTATCCAACAGTTCAGCGTTCCGTAATTATCTGTGCTACAATGTACTACTTCAATATACATAAATATAGAATTTGTACTGATGTAGTAAGGAACAATTTATAATAAACATAAATTGCAATATTTTCTTACTTAAAACATTCATAACCTCACTAATTCCCCCCCCCCCCCAAACCTTCCTTCAAACCTCTCTGTTGTGATAAGTTTTCATTTTCTGGTCCCACAAAAAGAAGATTAATTAATTTGTCAGCATCCATCTCTTCGTGCGACTGAAAACAAACTCGTTTGAAAGACGAGCGGTGTCAAGCGATACGCGCAATAACTTTGTTTGCACTGTGACCTGTTACAGACCTTTTAACGTGTTTGATATTTCGCCCCAACTCGCCCGATATCGCCTGACCGTCAATTCGCGCGAATACGCGTGCAGTGTAACCGCAGCCTTCGATATTAATGATATACTCCAATTTTTAGAAAGTAAACTGTTAAAATAAATTGCACTTATTTATTAAATCACTTTAATGGAATTTTGGTTGTATCGCCGTGTCGTCCTTTGCCCAGCAAACCACAATTGACATCATCGTGAGAACTTCTCTGACACTTCTCTGAGTTCTCTGACACTTTAATCAACCTTCCATAACATTTACAGTTTAGCGATATACTGCACCAAGTATGTTTGAAGTCCAAAACTAAGGACAATGTAACAAATCGGTTGATCGATTTAACACAGACCGAATCTTGGGACTCTTGGTGACGGGAGATATTTTTAACAGTGCAGCACGCCGATACTATTTCATGCAGATTCCAAAACAGAACTGTCACGGGATGTTGCTGAGGCCTGGGAGTTTGCCAATAATGGTGGAGAGATAAATTCAGTATGAGTCCAGGACAAGAAATTGTGTATGTATATGTGGATATGCGTCTGCAAGTACGTACGCTTTTCTCGAGGATCCTCCCTAGAGACAACTGCTTTATCTCTAGTTCAAATACAAGACCTTTATTTTCCTCTCAACACAAAACCCATTCGCAGCGTGTGACAGCCATTTGTTTTCCCGGCAGTAACACAGAAAAAATGTATAAAAGAAACTAACAACAATAAATTATTACCGAAATTTAAATCTGCGATAAAAATACGTGTGTTCTACTTTCGTTCAAAGTTTAACTGCTAGTCTGTTAATAAAGTGATTACCGATGTCCTGGTTATCCTATTTTAATTAAACAAGTCTGAGAGATGTGATAAAATATACACGTAATATATTTTTCTTTATTTACAAGTCTGAATTTGTTCGAATGAGTCATTATGATATTTACTGTCAGAAATTCAAATAATTTTAACAAATAGTATAGAAAGACTAAAAATAATTATAGAAGGAAAAAATATTGGACAAATCACAGGATTTAACTACGTATTTAAGGAATAAGATCTCAGAATATAAGAAAGACATAGAATACATATTACAAATATATTATAGAATATTTCTCTCTCACTCTATCCTCTGTACTACAGCCTGTTTAGGTGGAATATCATAGAATCAATTGAATAATAAAAATAAATGTCAGTATACAAATGTACGATATAATCAAACAGAACTAAAAATACGCAACGTAGCAGCGGAAACGGCTCTCAGATATGGAAGTGAGACATGGCTGTTGAACAAAAGAGATAATTTTTGTAAGGAGGACAGATCGGATTCTTAAGGTCATTACTGGATGTACAAAATTACACTGTCAAATAAATGTTGATACGTACAAAGGAAAGATTGAAAGTACAAAGCATAGTAGAAGAAATTCAGATATACCAGAAGAATTTGAAAGAGCATGTCGAAAGAATGCAAGCTAAAGGGCTACCAAAATCAGCACGAAAAGAAACACCAACCACAGGGAAAACGAAATGGAGTTTGTGGCAAGAAAAGACGGAAAGATTAGTTCTTGGAAGAAAGTTGAAGAATCACAGGCCTAATAATCCTATTAATACCGGTTAAGGAAGAAGAAGAATTTGCAGTAAACTTCAGACGTTTCATTCGGTTATGTTTTTATTACAAAATCAATTTTTGTGAAGATCATTAAAAGGGGGCACGAAAATATTAAGTTCTGTAACTTCGGTCCGTACAATATTTCTATACATATGTTTAACCGTTACTCTCAAAGGTTATATGTGTTTCCGTCTGCTTAAAGTTTACAGGAGCTACTTAACTGTTCCATTAATTGAACGAATTTGTGTGGTTCTCGGATTCAGAACGAACTTTATAATCCAAGGGCTTAGTACGTTGTTTGTTGATATTTTAGATTCAAGATGGAGTTGATTATTGAACAGCTAAGTAATCGCACCTTATCCTCTTGTATTATCTATCATTTCGCGATGGCAAATTGCTCGCCCGTAAGATATGTGAAGATTAGGAACTGTCCCGCAGGCTTCGTGTTATACCTACATAAGCTTTGCAAGAGGGTTAATCCCTACATTACGAGTAAGGGATTCATAAATTTATACTCATTGTAAGGGTCTTAAGTTGCCTTAGACCAGGGGTGCTAAAAGGCTACATAAGGTGAAATAACAGGAGCCAGTCTCAAGAAGATAAAATACAATACACTTTATAAAAAATAACAAATGTTAAGCGATTATGCAACGAAAAGGAAAATTTATGAACAAGATTACTAACACAAAAAACTGCTGCTTTATAATATCCTTAAACACAACCAAATTATTTCTAAATATGTCGACATCTTTACATACAGTATTTGCTGCTAATACACATCTAGCGGAGAGACAATTTTTTCGCGAAGAACGAACAGCAAATAAAGGAAAATCTTTAAAATTTCGAGCTAGATCGCGAATGCGTTATGTTACTAATAATATTTAATTAAACTGTGTTCTCTAATACATAGATTTCTGTCCATAAGAAAGTAGAATGTTGAAGTTATTAATTCTGAAGGAACCAGCTACTGTCTAGCTTATTTGTTAAAGACATTTATTTACATACCACAATAATGTGTCAAATTGGAACGCAATGTCATGTTTCTGGTTTTGTGTTTTCAGTAAGTTAAGACTAAAAAACTTTTTACATAGTTTTATTGAAAGAATTAAAACTGTTCTTTTATTCGTCTTTAAACATTTCCATTTTTAATGGACACATTGTCTATGTACCAAGCAAGTATGATTTATTGAACGAGGGGTTTCAATCACAGTTGATCGAAATATGTAACTCACATAAATCCAACAACATGAAAATTCTTGTACAGTCACTACCGAGAATAGTGGTGTATGGGTCTACAACCCCTTCTTCGTATCAGTAATTTTCGGGTTTTATGTACGGCTATCATGATGAATTTCGTACCCATCCTCTGTTTCTTCAAGCTAATGTTGGGTTAGTGCCATTAAATGAGCTACGACCACTTCCTTCTGCTCGTTTTCCATGATCGTCCTAGTATCGGAAGTTATAAGAGCTATGATGTTGATATGATAATACAGTAGATGCAGATTTATCATACAACACCTGATTAGCTATAAATTATGAAAATGTTACGAATACAATGGCTAACACTTTCTTTTTATTTTTGACGCAGTGGTTAATAATGTGGAATATCTAATAAATTCCCCGTCAATCTCCAATTCGGCTTGCGTGAGCTTGTCTAAACTTAGCGAATAACATTCTTCACATGTACGCATTAAATAATTGAAGGTACAAATCTGTGGATTCTGAAGAATATAGTCTAACATTTTCTGGTGTAGGAACTTCAGAAATAAGCCGTCTTCTAAAACAGGCTCAATAAGCTGGAGGGGCAGACTGCCTAATGCAAAATTCCGAGGAACAAGGGTATCGTGGACAAATTGCCAAAACCATTAAGGTATTAGCTAATTATGATCCGTGGAAGCTTGCTATAACCCCTAATACTGTATAGCTTATTGGGCACCCCATTCATTTCTTATCACCTCCCCGCCCCCCATTCTGAAATATCCTCCAGCAGCTTCAAGCCGATAATCCACATACATATATATCTGATAGAGTCTCGATACCCATCCCCCCCCCCAACACTTTATCCTTCAAAAAGTTAATACAGTATGCAATGTGAACATTTCTGCAAAAGCACACTGTATGGACCTTTTTATTTCTACAATTAAAATAAATAGAAATATCGCCAACTTTATAATTACCTAACTCTAAAAGGTTCTTATTCATTGTTTAAACTCTATTTAATGACGCTTTTTCAGTAGCTCAGACTATATAAGGTCGAATGACAGAATGATGTGAATAATGAAGTGGAAAGGATGTGAAAGGAAGCGGTTATAATGATGGTGCTACGTTCAATATAGATTTTCTTCTGGACTAAATTCATCGTTCTGTATATTAAAACGAAACCACAACGTTTTAAGAGCTGGCTATGCCCCCACCTTCAGCTGATAGAAACTACTATGTTAGGTCCTATGGAAGGACAAATCCCAATCTCTGTCCAGAGAACGATGGATTTATTCCAGAAAAGAACAATACTGATTGTATAATTTTCTATTGGCGTTAAAAGTCCTATCTGAGAATTTGAAACACAATCTCTCTTAATCATAGAGGTTTTTCTTAGTCCTATGTAGGCAGGTAGCAGGGTGCTGTACGAGGCGCGAGCAAGACCTCTACACTCAAATGACAGCACAGGAAGACGTAAATATTAATGCCCCTAGTGAGGTTCAACCAGCTATCTCAGCGTATAGGGTTTAAGACCAATAAAATTAATACAAAAGATTAAAAAGGCAAAGGTAGAATTCTCGCAATACACAAATTTTTGTGAAGTTTGAGGTTCTCACGGTGGCGAATATGAACATGATCGTCTTCCGGTAGAAATTAAAAATTCTACCGGATTACTCGATGCTACAACCCAGAAAACAGCAATTTTCATACCCGCCGCAATGAGAACCTCAAACCACATTCCTGTTTTGTTGTCACAAACGTTCCATATCCCTGCAACTTCTCTTATCCAGCAGCAAGCGTTCTCACGTGTCCTCCGTCCGCTAATTTTGTGGACTCCAAATAGGAAGGTCGACTAACATATTTAATAACCGATATGAACATAAAACTATAAGTTCTCTATTTTGTTCTCAAATATGACGGTTTAAAATATGTCTTGTAAGTTTCTCGGCGTTAGCGTTAAATGTTCTAAATTTGTAAAATAAGTAATACAGTGTAACAAAGTATACTAATGACGTTTCTTTTCCAGTGAAACTAATGTTAATCATTTGCAGTATAAACGTTGTATCTGCCCATTAAATTAATGTAGAAATATTTAATTCAGTACAAAGTGTAGAGACGATTATTTAAAAAAAATGCACATTCACCAGATATCACAAGAAATTCGGTTGGTATTCATATTTCAAGACGATTTTGTTTAGACAAACTAGTGAAATGATTTTAAAAACTAAGGTGCATTTGCTTTGTTGTTAAGGTGGTGTTAACAGAAAATGTATAAGACACAGAAACATAAAACTTATTAAATGGAGCCATACACGCTCTTTGCTATCTTGTATACATAATTCATCTTCGTGTTCATTTTTTCACATCTACGTAAATCTATTTAATTCTGTAAGGCGATAGAAACTACGAACGAAAGGAAGTGTCTAAGGGGGCATGCAACCGCTCATTTTTATGTTCAACATATCAGTATTGCATTCATGTTAACTACATAAGGAATTTTTTGATTGGTTTTAAATAAATTCAATATATGATAAAACATCTCCTCTAATTTGAACCTTAATTAACGCAAAATTAGATTTTACATAAAGTAGCTACTGCTCAGTTAGGTTCATGTACAATACATTTTAAAGTGAAACCTGAAAAAATGTGCAACTTCTTTACAAAATTCATTACATCTTCCAAAGTTCTTGTGGTCCTGGCGTAATTTTTACACACTTTAAGAGGGGTATGTGGCCGACACTTGTGACAAGTTTAAAACAAATCCCACATCCTACTTTTTTTGCAATACATTTCCAAATTTAAAATTTTATCACTTATATTTCAGAGATTTTACAGCTTGTGATGTAAATTTATATCATAGGAAAGTTCTGTCATTTATCCTTCAAGAGTTCAGTTCTGAAACTTCTTGTAGGATAATGTTCCACAAAATTTTGCCTCGTGAAAACGATGTGCAAAATTATACACGGCCATAAATATGTGTCTACAAACGAATCCTTGCCCTATAAAAATTCAGGCAAGTGAAATCAGAATATAACATGCATTGAATAAAACTACTAATGATCAACCGGACTGTGTATTATAAATTTTAATTATGAAAGAGGAAGAATTGCTTTTTTTGTACTATATCGTGTAAACATATAATTTTTTAAAAAAGAATTCGCGCATCTGAAACTGTGGTGACACACCAATGTGCCACAGTACACTAGTTGTGGAACACCATCTTAGAATGTGCTGAATCTTCTCTTTCTTATAGTAATTAGGACACCATCCATCATCTTGATGATGACTTAATGACTAAATAATTAAACTTTCATCAGAAATATCCAGAAAAACTTCTTTTGTCATTCTTTATGACTGTTTAAGGAAAGAAACTAGAATACAGATTGGAGTTTGGGTTTAATATGACTCAGGACCGGTACAAAGTAAAATAACAAATGTGGAAGTTAACATAGTTCACTTTACATAAAACTTTATTATTGTTATACTTTGGCTTTTTCAATTAAACAAAAGTTATGGAACCTCCTCACCGTCATTAAAACAATTGTCCCCATTTTGTTCTCGTTGTTCAGTGAATATAAATATCTACTGCATGTGTGTGAGGGAGTGGGTTATATATATATATTAGGTGGGAAGTTCCATTCAAAAACTACACAACAACCTCAAAGGCTTGGGAATAATCAACATACAAAAACATAGAATCGTGTTCAAAATTTTTCATCCGCAAAATTTTAACTACTTGTATATTTCCCAAAAAAAATGCCCCAGCTATAAACAAAAACGTTTTTGTAATAACAATAATAATGACAATAAGAATAAAATAATTTAAATTGTCACGGAGGACAGGAATGTGCATAGATATGAATCTGAAAACATTTAACTTTTCTTCACATTTTCTCCACATTTCCCTTCAAAATATTATAAATAGAAGGAATTATAACAAACACACTACCATCTTTAACCATTTTTGGTCCCTACATGAAAAATCTGGCCACCCCATATACTTCATATAGTAATATATATATATATATATCTTTTTTAAATTTAATAAACATTTTTAAGAATTCAGTGCTTCTAAGTAATACTATTATTTACATATTTACTAGTAACATACTGATTTTTAATGTAATTATATGCATCTAAATATAATTTCCCTCAACAAAATTACAAATAAAATAACAAATGATTGGAAACAAATGTTCGTGTGACAACTTTCAAGCCATTAGATACAATTTTATAACACGAAACTGTAGAAACTCATGTGTTCCAAGATTACGAATAATTCATCCATCCTTTTCTGTTCACACAAAAACGAAGTGTGAAACAAAATTTCCCATCTCACTAAACAATCATTTATCTACACAGAACAAGAATACTGAAAATAACCACTTCCCAAAAATTGAGCGAGCTACCCAGAAGGTAGATAAAGTAGGGGCAACCCATAATGTTGTAATACATGTCATCCATTTGAACATTTACTTTGAACAGTCAGAACAATAAATCTGTGCATGCAATTATATCTGGATTTATAGTGAAATGTTACGTACAGTCATTTCAAAGTTACAGTAAGTCGGTAAATTATTTTAGTGGGCGGGTTTCAAATTACTTTTAAATTGTGGATATATTATAACATTGCAGCTATAGGACAATGTTACCATCAAGATAAAGCGTCCTGCAGTAAATAAATTGTTGAATGGCAAGTCACCGGACTGGAAGGAACTGCGTAACAGACAGCAATTGGAGTAGGCTCAATTTCATTACTTCAAACTATAAATTTACTATAATTAAATATTAATGTCTCAGATAGTACTGCAGATCAGGTAGGGCTGATTGGAGTGAGCTACAGAAAACATCAGAACAAAGTTTTCAACAGAAGTCTGAGACCTACTGGAAAAACACGAAATTTAACAAGTTTGGTGATATGCTTACTGTTCTATTTACAGTGATATTGTCCCCCATCTTGGCACCCTGGCTCAACATATCTAACGAGTTAAATTCTGAATATTTTCGCATATTCTGCATATATCATATAGAAGTGCACATTATGTACAACGGAATGTGCATTATGTACAACAGATTGACACTATACAGTCTGAACTACTGAAAGTATCATTATATATAAATCACAAACAAAAAAATAATGGGTGGCAGAGACCTGTGCCTATTTGCGTTACTGATAGCCTCAATGAAAAATGTGTATCATTATTAATATAATGCTGTAAGTAAATCAGAACTATGAAATACATTCATATTGCAGAAAATATTTCTCACGTGATGCTTAGAGAAACACTGTGAATTTGTAAAATTCCTCAAAATTTAATCTTCTTTCTGTATATGATTATATTATTTGATGCTGTGAGCAAAACAGATAAAATCTACTGTCTATTGCAGTATATAAACCACTTATGGAAATGTAAGAATAACAAAATATATAAACACTTATAAATATCCATCGAGTGTGAAGGGTCTGAATCTGCAGAAATTAAAACATGCAAATGGAAAGATTTACCCACTAGTGCACTTCTGAAAGGACAGCTAGCTCCCTTCACCCAGCCCATATTTTAAAGTGATTTGCCCAAATCTGTTGTATAATATGGTAATATTCATGAAGTGATAGAGAATCTAATTATCTTGCTCTGGCATTATGAATTAATATTCTATTCTGCTTTGTAGTATGAGCAAATATGTATATTATTTGCCATTCCTGTTCCCTCCTTGTCAAAATTACTTCTGTGAAATTATTGGTACAGATAACTGCAGAAACTGAAATGTTAATGCAGGAAAATTACAACCTGATGTGTGGATGGAAAAATGTCACCTTTTCCATTTGCTAAGACTAAACCTTTAAAGTGACTGCAATTCTATCAAATGACATAAAACGTTGTCCAGTTATTAAATCCCCATCCTTGACTTTTAAATTTCATTATTATGACAATATACTGTACATTTTGTACTGTACTTTTGAACAATATTCTTGAGCTTTCACCACTTATATGATTTCTTAGATTCTTAAACATGAGATGTTTACCAAGTTTATTGGTACAAAAATAAATAAAACAAAACAAAAGCTCATTTGCATTCTGTGAAAAGGCTTTAAACTTGGAAGCAAGTATTTCTATTCATTAACTCCTTATGAATGAATTTATAGTAAATGTTTTTATTTAAAATGTTAATGAGTTATTTTTATCTTATAGGTCACCTGACAAACCACCACCTATGCAAAAATTTAAAGCCTTAGTGAGCATTATCACCATCTACTGATGGTGCTGGAGATAAGCTTGTTCCATCAACATGGTTAATACTATTGCTTGGCTGTGAAGCATCTGGAGAAGAGGAATGACTGTCAATGCTCATGTGCACTGTTTCATTATTTTGTGCATTTGTCACACAACTGTCTGGCTGTTCTTCACCATGGTGCTCAGGGGATCCAACATATTGCTGATCTGCTGTGGGAGTCAATGATGAGACATCAATGTTTTCGTCTTCATTCTCCTCTTTAATTGTAACTGGCTCTTGTTTCATTTCTGGTGAATTTATTTGTGTTGACAAATGATCTCCAGTATTACACAGATCATCATCAACTGAATGCACTTTCCTCACGTGATCAGCAACATGACGCTGACGTACAAATGCTTCACCGCACTGTGGACAACGAAAGTGCTGTAATGTTATATGTGCATCTAGGGTGTCGATATCAGGGAAATCTTTATGACAGAGTGGACAGGCATGAGGAGATCCTTGCTTGTTTCCATCTGAGTGATAGTGTTCTTCTGAAGCAGTATTCATGTCTTCAGAGGCTCGCTCTACACTGTTCTGGTCTTCATGATGTGATCGCATGTGAACACTAAGATTTCTTGCCATCCCAAATTCTTTTCCACATTCGTTACAACTATAAACTCTTTTACTTGTGCTTGATGCATGCTTGTGATGCCGCTGATGAGTCTGCAGGCCTAAAATGCTGCTGAATTCTTTGTTACATTCCAAACATTTCAACATGCCAACTCCTTTACTGCTATGGCTTTTATTGCTTTTGTGTCTTTGCTGTTTGGAAGATTCTTGAACTAATGTCTTGTAGTAATGCATGTCTGGATTGGAAGAATCATAAACTCCATTTGTATTCAAGTGATGGTAGTATGCAGCCTGTTTAAAGAAAGAGAAAGATTACACAATATTATCTTGAGACTGGAAACATATATCACAAGGAATATGAAAACATTTTTCAGCATATGAACTCTGTTGGTAGGAGGATAAGAATTATTGTGGGTTCTATTTCTGTTGGAAATTTTATTTTCAAAGCCCCTTTGTTCCATTATCACATGGTCTTTAATTATAATCCTAACTTTACCTATTATTTTATGTTTACTAAAACAACTCTGCTTTGTTAAATGGCTGTCTTCTGATAAAATTTTTATGATATTTCAGAGGTTCTTGCTGCCTTTATCATCAGAACAACCACCAGAAGACAGCCAGCTTCATACTTGCTACCTAACCTAACCTGAAATCCAACTATGCTTTATTTGATTGAATTATAAATATGAATCGTAATCACTTTTTAACTAAAATATGGGATACATTTGGTATTGTACAGTAATCTCTCACCTTGTTTACCATGTCTCCTCCATCCAATAATGCTGAGGAATTTGACATAGCAACTGCATCCTCTTCAAGATGACTGTAGCTGTGGTTGTCCAACTCTGCACGGAAGAAGAAGCGCAGACTGCATCGAGAGCAGTCATAGGGTCTTGAGGCCAGGCCGTGCTCCAGCATGTGTTGCTGTAAACCTTGCGCTGCTGTGAACACGGCACTGCACAGGTAGCAGGTAAAACTTCCACAGCCCGCAAATGTGTGCTCTATGAGATGTGCCTGAAGCTTCAGTGGGGTGGCTAGTAACCGACGACACAAATGGCACTCATGGCTGCTCCCTTCAGTCAGCAGGTGTGTAGCTACATGCATCTGTATCTCACGCTCTGTCTCAAAACTCACCTGGATTCACAATAAAAAGGTTTAGATTCAGACAAAGATATGCATCACTCAACAGTTAAACAGAAATTGGCAATGACAAAGATAAATATTTCCCTTACTCCTTTCATGGATATATGTTCTCATTTTATTAACAAGCATAATTTTTAAACTAGCTGTTTTATAATTTTAATTCACAAAATATGATGCTGAATTACATTATCATTATTTAACAGAAAGTCGTGCCAGGACACAAAATAAAAATTTGAAGATTTTAATATGGCATAAATAAAGAAATATTTAGTAAATCAGTACTTTACTTATGTGTTACTTGGGTAATTTTTATAGAATATGACTGTAGAGCACTACAAGACATTAGATATAAAATTGTGGACAACTAGGTCAGGAGCAATCCCGTATATTTTCAGTTGACTACTTATCATTCATGTAGCATCATTCGATCATTGGTGCTCATATCAAGAAGCATGATAATTTATTAGTTATTGTTTGCAGGACTGATATTTGTAACTAAACCATAAATAGACAATACAATACAATTTTGTAACAGACTACTGATAGATGTAGAGTAAATCAGGAAGACATTGTTCCTGGTTTATAAATTTTACAATTTTAAGAAACATTTTCCTTACCTGGCATTTGATGCACTGGTAAGTCTTCCTGTGGACAGACACCAAATGTGCTTCAAGAGCTGTGCTGGTCTCAAACTTTACTTGGCACTCAGGACAACGAAAAGCCTGTTCTTGTTGCTGAAGTGTATGTCCCAGTTGCTGTTGTTGTTGTTGCTGCTGCTGCTGTGATGGTGATGATTTACTGTGACAATGATAGCAGTCCTTGCACACATACGTAGCTCCTTGAAGACTCGGTACAACTCCATTATTACCACCCGCAGCAATGAGATTCTGCATCTCAAACTGCTTCAAGCACAGACAGCACTGGTACATGGGCTCTGTGGCTGTGAGAGCAGCAGAGTTCTTTAAGTGGAACCTTGCATGCATCCGGACTTCTATGTTAGATATAAGGGTTTGCCTGCAGACAACACATGGTGTGGGTAACGCCACCTGTTGGTGTGCACTATTTGTGTTTGTTTGAGCACTGGTGTTATTATTAGAACTGTGTTGCTGAAGATGTGTGTAGAACTGTTCCTCATTAACAAGAGTAGCTTTACACTGTGTGCACATGCTCCCAGATATCACCTTACAATGTGTCAGCTTGTGTTCGGCAAGGACGGCAGCTGAGGGACACAGCTCATCACATATATTACACTTGTGTTTCCCTGAGCCACTGCTACCCTGTGAATGTGTTTTCATGTGGTTTTCCAGTTCAGTGCGTGACTTACAATTCTCACTGCAGTATGCACAATGAAGACTCACAGCACCATTCTTCCCTGCAGCTGGTTTGATATGATGTACCAGTTTCCGGTGAGCCACGAGTTCTACCTCACTTCCAAAATCACAACGGTCACAGATATCACAGCAGCAGTTATTGTTGGTTTGATCACCCTTCTTGATATTGCTGCTGTCATTATTGTTGCTGTTGCGGCTTGTACTATTTGTTGACCCTGATGAGTTGTTGTTGCTGTTGAGTGTTGTTAATGAAGGTGTAACTCCAGATGTTTTGCTTTTAGGAGACTTCTGTTGTTGAGTTAGATTCTCAGCCAAAGTTGTTCCATTGCTGGTTATTACCTAATAACAAATCACTTCAATTAATGTATACTCATACTGTCTTCTAAACTGATTGCTATTGTGAAGACAATTACAATTATTCTGTTTCAAACATTTATCAGCTCTCTGAATGATTTTGTTATAGGTCAATGAGGTAAACATGCATCTGTTTTATATTTAATTTAAAATTTTCATTATAAATTAAATTGCTTATTCTAAGAATTATCTAAGAATAATGCTAAGTTTTACCATTCTTAAATATTTATATAATGGCCAAATTTTATTTAGTCTTTTATAAGCAATACATATACTTTAAAATATACAAATATATATTATATCTTCTTCCTTCATAAAGTCTTTCTTTTTGATAAGTTACTTAATGGCATTATTATGACTAATTCATTTGATTGATTCAGGTAGGCTGCATTAAAATATACTAATTTAATTACCTGACAAAAAAAATTCCCCTCAAACTGAGTTGTAAATAATTAAAATTCCAGATTTTTATAATTATTGTGGCATACAGACCTGAGAGGTATGATGCTTCTGCATGTGTTTGTCCAACAGGAACTCAACGTGGAAGGCTTCCTGGCAGAGTGGGCAGTGAAACTGCTTTGAATGTGCTGCCAGATGGAACTGCATCTCAAGTTCAGTGACAAAGCTCAGGCGACAGAACAGGCAGCGAAAGGGTTGCTGTGTTGGGGTCTTATTGGCAGTCCCAGTTAGCAGAGGAAGTGGGGCATGAGCTGATCGTACATGCAGACCAAAGTCAAGCTCTGAACGAAACACTGCATTTGATGAAGGGCATGCAGTACACCTGTACAGCTTACATTCATTGCTGTGCTTCACTGCAAAGTGAACCTATAAGAACGAATAAATGACATTAAAAGTTGTTTAGGCTCACGCATCCAAAATATATAACACTTTCATTTCTGAAATGTTTCAGTCATGAAATTTATAATTATACTTGATTCTAACAATCCTGTAACAGCAATTTGTTTTCATATATCTTCCATTTCTGTTCTCTATAACACCATGCATTTGTAAAAGTTATAATTTTCTTAACTCTACATTTTATTTACGGTTATAAATTTAATATTATATTTTTTATTTCATGACCTACCTGTATTGCAACTTTAGAATCAAACATTTCCTTGCATAAAGAGCAGCGATATAGGTGATGAGCATGGATATCCATCAGATGTTTTTGCAACTCATCAGGTTTGGGGAAGAGTTTGAGGCAGCTCTGACAGCCATACTCTGTGGCAGTTGCCATGAAATGTGTGGCCACGTGTTGTTCAAAGGCTTGGTGATCATCTGCACCAGAGAACTTGGCACCACAGTGCGGGCATGCTAGAGCCCCAGAGGCGGCTGGGCTCTTAGAACCGCTTACTCGGCTGTCCTGGCTTGACAACATACCCATGATGTCAGAACCACCTCCTAGCAAGCCACGAAGCCCACCTGCTTCCTCCAAGTGAGACTTCAAATGTGTCCGAAATGATTCAAAGTCAGGCAAAGCGGCACTACATTGGTTGCAGAGCAGAGTGCCTGGATGTTCATACTGATTCACCTGTTGAAAATGAAAACACAAAGAAACATGAAGATAAATGTCTTCTGAGTTGTAGTGCTGTGTAGCCTAGTAAAAGTTTACCAGTGTTTTAGATGCCTTTCTATCTCTATCATCAGGGCAATGATTGCCCTGATAAAGGGGGCAGCAAGTACTTCTAAAATGTTGAAAAACTTTTACCAGACTATACAACACCACAACAAGGAAGACAGCCATCTTTATATTTACTGCTATGAAATCCTCAAATTCTACATAAAGAAACATAACCTTAAAGGAAATAAACACAAAATTTATATCAGCTTAGCAGATGTATTAAGCATCTGAAATGCGACAGATTTTGGATAAGTGAGTTAGTAAAGTGACTTGTTATGGAATGTTTCCATCAGTGCCAGATTTATCTTTGCAAATACATGCACACCAGTTCTGGGGCCCACCCAGCTTCTACTCAAAGAATAGCCTACTGAGATATCAAATATGTGGAGCTTCAGCTCCATGCTCCAATAACCCTTTATTCTGAGGTGCTTGGAAACAGTGACAAATTTAGCATTACCTTAAAAAGTATATTTAAACAACCATATTTATAGGATTAAGTCTTATGAGCATAATTCATATATCGATATACCTTTCTTCTGCAGAAGTAAATATGATTATTTTATTCCCACATTTTTCACCCTACTCTAATAAAAAATTACAGATAAATATTTTATTTACACATGTTTAGATTCTCATTGTTTTATTTCCTTTTCATTTTAAATAAATTGAAACAAATTTAAATAATGCTTAACAAATTTTATTTAAACGTATGTAATGCTAATGGAGACATTTTATGTAGAATTATTTTTACACTTTTAAATTTTTGTTATTGTATTTTCTCAGGCGGGATCTATCAGAGATAGGAGTTGAATGAGACTGGATTTTATTGGCCCAGGACAGGGTCCGGTGGAGGGCTTTGGTTAATTTGGTGATGAACCTTCAGTTTCCGTGACCCATCTACTTAGTTAGTATTTTCTATTAAATATTAATTAAATTAGAGTTGACAAAATAATTAATTAATACAGTATCAGGTGCAAGGCTATTAAATTAATTAATTTCAATAATTATTATTTCAGACATTCATCCCTACCATACTTGATGCAGAAGTTGGAGTGTCTGGCATAGAGACTGCTGGCGGTGCTGCATTTTCAACTGATGCTTTATGCTTCTTTGGTAGCGATCTATCTTCATGGTGCTGTGAATGTCGATGTGCCTTCTTGCTGAGATCTGTAGGTTTCAGCTGTTCAGGAGCTGGAGAGGATGGAATCATGAGACCTCCAGCTGCGCTACTGGAACCGTGCATGAGTACGTAATGCTCGGCGAACAGAGCAGCTGATGGGAATGATAAAGAGCACTGGATACAGAAGAGACCAGCACCAGTGGTACATCCAGTTGTTTCATTGTGGTGGTCCTTATTTCCAACACCCAGGTTGTTTGGACTCATTAGGCCATGCACAGCAATAGCATGTTTCTGCAGACCTTGGACGGCACCAAACCTCATCGTGCACAGGTCACAGGAATAAGGCATGAGTGTTGTTGAAGTCACTGTGTGGTTATTGCTGGAGCCACTCCCACCTTCATTTGGAGAAGTGAGGAGACGGTGAGGCGTCAAGCTGGGGCTTGGACTTGCCTGATGCTGCGACAGACTGGCAAAGTCTCGTAGGTCACCATTCAATATTGAACCTATTTCAAGAAAACAGAAATAATGAAGTGTGAATCAGAGGTGTGACCAGGTTTGTACAAAAGTAACTTATTAGAGTTGTATTCAGGTGGCACACAGATCAAATTCCACCTGAAATACTGGCTGTACAGACAAAGAATTTAGCACTCTTCATCAGTTCCTCCTACTGAATATCAGAATACTAAGTTGCAACTGGACACGATTATAGCCTTACTCAAATTTCATAATTCAGCATTCATATCACCACATCCATGCAGATGTTATACCATCTTTATACCTGATTTAATTCTATTGCATAGCTGAAATATTAACATGCAAGATATAAATCATGTGTAGGAAATGTGTATGAGATTTTACTGTGGCTGTTAAATTTGGACATTCATGTACTCCACAAGTTCATGACCTTAAAATAAAAATAAACTATGGAACTACTAGGATTTTGCAGCAGTATCTTAGCCATACTGTAATGATGCCATTTTGTGGATTAAAAAGCAATTAATCTTGTCACAGAATTCATAAACTTTATGGCATGCTTTAAATTATTTAAAGTAATGTAAAAGTAAAGCTGTCCTAGCGCATGCCATAGAGGCACTTGAGGGAGGGAGGTGAGAGGAGGAATAGCTCCTAATACTCATTCTTGACCTCGACACTAGATGGAGGTTGGTGGTCAGCATCACGCCATGGTCATGCTTTAACCCCAGTACTCATAGAATAGGAGGCTGGGTGAGTCCCAGAACCAATCTGAATGCAGAGGATAGAAGAAGAATCCTTTACCATTGCCAGGATTTAACCCTAGTTATCCAGCATGTAGCTACTCCAGCCCATTGCTTAAAATAATGCAAAACCAAATAACTGTAGTGTAAAACATGGCAGTGGGCTCGTCACTCACTACTCATAAATGCACAGTTCAAAGACTAGGAAACCGTCTGAAAAGGAGGCAGCAAAGACCCACAACTGGGTTGCAGAGCCAAGGAATAAGAAGAAGAAGAAGATGTGTAGAATGTGGTGTTTTATTGTATACTTTGACTTTGTCCACTGTCCCTGTATTCTGTATTCTATTTCCTTCAATCTGCACAAAAAATCTTACTTTAATAGGCCCCGTGGTAGACCTATTCAAAAAATACGGAGAAAAATAGAGCGAATTTCCGAAACACCGTTGGTTAAAATCTGATACGACGGATAATATCTGTGTCGTAAACATTTCTGTTTCAATACAAAATTACTGTTATTGACTTAATATGGCTTAAAACCAGAAATACATTGGATTTCAGATGTAGGAAGGTATAAGAATCCTACGTACTTTAAGCCGTAGGGTTACTCACCGTGCATTGCCTGGACGTGCAGTTGCAATGCTTCCATGGTGGTAAAGCTGTCTTTGGTGCAGTATATGCACGCCAGTTTGGGAGTTGGGAATGGCAGGGGTCGGGAGGGTGACCTGACCAAGGGAGAATCCCCTAGCATGAGGCCCCCTAGCAGACCTCTACTGATGGGTCCTGGGGGTGAACCACCTGTCTCTACGTTGTGCTGTGTCATCATGTGGCCCTGAAAATTATGATATCTCGATGTATCAGAATGATAAACTATGATCAAGAAATAGGAAATGAATATAAAATTAGAAGTGTATTTATAACTTCTTACTTCATTGAAATAATTTGACGTATTTGCGAATTTCATAAATTTTAATTATATAATATTTGAAGATTTCTGTCTTCTGGGTTGTTGCGCTGTGTAGTCTGGTCGATGTTAACCGACGTTTCAGAGGTCATACTGCCTCCGTCATCAGGACGATGAATTCATCGCAACATAGCGCAACAACCCAGAAGACAGAAATCATCATACTCACTGCTGTGAAAACCTCAAATCTTATATATAATATTTAATTGTATGGGACTGCACGTAAACATGGCCTTATATTAGTAGCATATTGTGCAGTTTTAAAGTCAGTAAACAAAACCTAACTAACTAACAAGCTGGCTTAGGGAACCTGAAGGTTTATCAGCGAATTAACCAAATCCCTCCACCGGTCCCTGTCCTGGTCTAATAAAATCCAATGGCTTTAACTCCTATCAGTAAATAAAACTTGAAGTTATTATATTGATTCACGAATAAACTGTATCTAACCCTTCAACAATAAATACTTTTAATCATTAAATATTCTTCAAAATATCATGTCCTTCATTAAATTAAATTCATAACTACCGTCCTAATATGGTCCTGCTTTATAGCCAAAAATATATTTCAACTGCAAAAATCTCTAGTTGCTGTTGTCTTATGTCAATTGGAGTTCTGGTTTGGAAAATAAATATTTGCTACTGTGGCAACAAAACGTTCTTTACAAACGGTAATTTAAAATTTATTTCGTGTAAAATACGTTAGAAAAACTGAATGTTTTAACACAACATTCAATAAATAAACGTAAAACTTTGGCTTTGGGGGATAAGCCGTGTAGAATTTTGAATGTTTTCCAACGTTTCAACAAACAGTGAAGTTTCCATTTTCAGGGTGCAACTGCAATATCTGCCAAAATGTTGGACAACATTCAACATTCTACGTCGTTTACTCCGGAAAGTCGACGTTGTACTAAATTCCATTCGCGAAAACCTTTGGTCAAGGAATACGACAAAGAAGTTATTTTTTTTCCAATAGTTTATTAATGTATATCTTAAGAAAATGAGTTTAAAATTACTTCAGGACTTTGTTAACGTCACCACACTATACGCTATACTTTTACTAGTCCACTTCGAAGTAGGGGTCCGCAGTGGCCGCTCGGTCTGAGGCGTGGGCCTTGTGACCGTGGGTTCGAATCCCACTCAAGCCATGGATGTTTGTCCGCGTTTTTCTGTGTTGTGCTGTCCTGGGTACAGGTAGAGAGAGGCCTTACGACGGGCCGATCCCTCGTCCAAGGAGTCCTACCGAATGTCTATAGATCAAGCCAACGAAAAGTTGGGACCCGCAGTGCTCAGGCACGTGAAGAACGGGTCGTTCCCAGTATTTCGAAGTAGCTTCATTTACGGCAGCCATAAATTATTTCAATAACTATTATTAAAATTCACAAATCAAACACTGCCGTGCAGATTAGGCAACTTCTTCAGCTACTTAGTTAAGCGGGTTTGTATAATCGCTCATAGCAGGCGCTGCACATGACCGAGGACCGGCAGTGCAAAAGTCGGAAATAAGAAAGTAAAATGAAGGCAGGGATGGGGAGACAGTAGCTGCCGAAGGTTTGAGCGTAATTTCAATTACTTTCGAAAGATTAATTATCCTTATTTCCACAAATACCATATAATGAGCTACACTTTTCTAAGCAAAGTTAAAGTATTACTTCTGTAAGATTTCATGTTCTCACGATGACGAGTATGTAGATGGCTGTCTTTTGGGATGTTGCACTCTAGTCTCTCAAACGTTGGCCGACGTTTCAGATATGGTTACTGTCTCCACCATAAAGGCCACCATCTCCGAAACGTAGGTCAAATTCTACCAGACTACACTACGAAATATCCCATAAGACAGTCATTCTCGTTATTAGTTTTGTTTGTGCAGACCGTCAGCGCAGTCTAGTGGTTAGGACACTGGCCAAAAGTTAAAAGTGTCCTGGTTTCGATCCTAACTGTTGCTACTAGCCTTAAATTAGAAAGAACATAATAAAATGTCAATGCAACCAATACTGTAAGTCAACTTTTTGCCGGAGCGTCATGTTTATTAAATATAAGTATAAAATTCGTACAATATTATGACTATTTTTGTTGCCTATTTTCACTGCATAACAAATATAAACTTGAGTTACAAGGCCATTTTACACTCAGATCACATAAAATGCTCTGAATAATTATTTACTTTCAATTTTCTCTGCAGTTCAATATTCTTCATTAATAAACAAATGGATTCTAACGTTTTTATTTACCAAGTAATTGCATTTCGCACTGATTACATTTCGAGTAACATGTTCCATCAGACTGATCACGGACATTGTGCTTTCAGCAGTGAGAGACTTGCCTGAATTTCTCACTCAGGTCTTTTTGTATCAGGAAGTGCAATTAACTTCATATTTCAGGTCGTTAAATTCACAATTTCAATTTAAAATACGTTTCGTTGAATGTGTTGCTTGATTAGCAATAGTTTTTTAAGCTTTCAAGTGACTGACTGTGATCTGAGGTTTTTTTAGTTTTGTTGTTTCTTAATGACTGGATATTAACGACTTCGTTTAGGTAGGACTGTCGGTGAAAAGTATGACAAACAATTATATTATAGTCATTATATCGAGGATCTAGGGCATCATGCCAGAAGGGCGCATTAACATATTTACACAATCGGAGATATACAAACAGTTACATTTGGGCATTTGAACACTAACAATGCATATTTGTCAAACCAAATAAGCGTAAGAATTTGGTTTCCTATAAATCTACCATTTTATAAACCCGTCTAGCATGATGTCCTTGGTATAAAAATATGCCATGCAGCCATTTTGAACCACAATACGTACCAAATATATAATGAATGTATTCAAAGAGATTTCAGGTTCTCACGACGGCTGTCGCCTGGGTTGTTGCACCGCAGGCCCTGACATTGAAAGCAGCAAGCACTCCTGAAACGTCGGTAAACTTCTACCAGACTACACGGCCCAACAACCCAGAAGACAGCCATTTTAATTTTTTTCGACGTCTGAATTATGTTCGGTGCAGAAGTGTGATACCAACTTCAAATCAATAAATCTAATCGTGTTTTTCCCACACGCCCACAAGTCATGGCATTTAGGTGGAGATTTTCAGGAGAGCAAACCCTGGAATGATATTTAACCTCGGACCCAGACCACTGCTGTCTTACCGGTATGCAAATCAGAGAAGTTTATGATCACTACGCGGGTCAATCCAGGGTTCAGAAGGGTTTGCAAAGAACGCGATCTCACCTGCAGTTCCTCAGGCTTCCGGAATGTTTCGCCACATTGCAGACAGCGGAACGAAGGACAGGCAGTGCCAGGACTCGGCGTGTTGTTGCTACTAGCGCGACTGCTACTGCTGTTGTTATGCCCATTCTGTTGTTGCTGTTGTTGCTGGTCCTTCTTGTGGTTTTGCATGTGCGAGGTGAGCGCAGCGGCCGTGTTGTAGCCTCTGTTGCACACCGTGCACTGAAATGGCTTCTGGTTGTCGTGAGTCTTCATGTGAATCTTCAGGTGGTCACTGCAATAAACAACAAAGTCAAATAGGATTTTAGATTCTCACGGCGGTGAGGATGAAGATGGCTGTCTTCTGGGTTGTAGCGCCGTGTAACCCGGTAGACGTTTACAGACGTTCCAGAGGTCTCCATCATTAGGGCGATAATTGCATTAACCAATTATCTATGTAAGAGATGTGATGTTTTCTTTGATGTACCTAAGAGCTGCATTTTTAAATAGTAATTCGACGGTCTTAAAATGGTAAAATAAAAAATGTCATTACATTTTTTCGTTGTAGAACAGACTAGAAACCAAAGACTAAGACAGACGGCTAACCCAAAATTTGTTACTTGATTAGAAGTCTGTTTTCTTCATTTGTTCCCACTAACTTCGTTGTATCAGCGTATAACCCCAGAGTGCCTTGTCAAGACATGGACTCTACTTAAATAGTAAATAGATTTGCTCGGAGTGTAATAATAGCTAGATCCATTTCTGTTCATCACTGTTCCAACAGCCACTGAAGTTTATTCTATTCTAAATCCATTAACAATTAAGATTTCTTGGCCATTGTATGTAATGATTTCCAGAGCCCACTGCACACAGATGAGTCGTCATAACTCAATAAAATTGCTACGGGTTTGACGACCGGAGTTCCATTCCCTGCGAAAGCAGAGGTCTTTCTCTCACCCACAGTGCTTTATCCCTATCATTGCTCTTATTGAGCAGGTAATTTAGTCTCTCGACGAGAGTAAACATGCCGGAGAGCGTACCTAGCATCTCATCTCTACGTTGAGGTTTACAATACATGGTGGTGCTTTATCTCCACTGTTCCATACAAATTTACGACGAGTTGCTTAAGCAAAGAGACAATTTTAAATTTACTTTAATCGGAAAGGGAGCAAAGCAACTTACTTCTGTAAGGAGTGCTCACGACTTATCTCATTCACATCGTAAAAGCTGTGTATGACGAACAGAAAGTGTGGTCCTACAGCTTATGCAAGCAAGCGGAAGGGAATGCTTTCGTTAATTTTTAATTGACCATTTTCGTCAATGAGTACGTTAACTATGCCAGTTAAATGAATGTTGGCAATGAATATGTTCAAAAGCGTGGTTTCGCTCTTAAATGAATAACAGCATGGTGTACCTGTCTATTCAGGCATCCTGCTAGTCTAACTTTGTATATACATATTTCTACATAACGAAGAGACAAACTTTTTGCTACCTTGTGTCAAGCCTCGGCTTTGAGACACAGAACAAATTGCTCACTGTGTCACGAACATTAGTCACACGCTGTTACTTCCTTCTTTTGTATTCTTCTGTCTGCATGTTTCTTCATCCTTCTGCAGATTCATGTTACGATAGCCCCTACTTCGCTTGCACTTACCATGAATGTTGGCGCCATTTTAATATTTCATTAACTTATTATTTTTTTTAAATTCCAAATGTGTGTGAGACAACAGTCAGCTGATATCTGACAGCAATGGTAATCTTTATTTTATACTAGACAAAGATGTATATCGCCTGTCATTAGACTGAATGTTAAGGAAGAATATCACGTGATTTCGACGAGCCGCTTACCAGAAGTTTCATTATCATGTAACAAGGAGAGTGAGGAAGACAGTGGAATAAGATAGATGACAGATGTCCTCTTACGACGGAAACAATAATAGCTGTGACAAAAGACAATGGTGTCTTCATATACAATTCTTTTATTTCTTGCTTAACTTTGATCTTTTTATAGTTCTTTGCTATTCATGACAATAATATATTATAGTCTACAAACAAAACTGTAGAAGAATATACCATGATTTAACATGCCACGTTCTATACCTTTCAAATCTGCATCATACCTAATTTAGATTACTTCAATTATGACTTGCGTTCACAGTATCATGCCTTCCACAAAACATCTCAGATAAAAAAGCTCCTTTATTAAGAAATATAAGGAAACTGTTCATTGTCAATAATCCACGTTAACATATAGATATTTTCTAAATGTAAGCCAAAAATAAACATAATATAAAATACAGTCGCTCTACACTTACCCACAGAATGTTCGTTCCGCGGTATATATTTACTTAATAGTGTTGGCACAACTGACAAAGCGCGATATTTATCGTTTGATTGGTAGAAAGTTTTAAGTCATGTTCTGGAAATACCGAGGGCGTACTCCAATTCTGTGGATTAAGTCACAGACTTGCTTGTCGGAACAATTCCACCTCGTAGTTTCGAATTGAAGATGTCCAAGAATTTCCTGTTTCCTGTTTATGTGGGCCAAAGTTAACATTGGTGGAAGTCGGTGTAAAGATTTGAAGTGGAACGAATGTTTCTGAGATAAATGTCTACCAGAGTATAAAGAAGAAACATTCTGCGTCAATTTCTAATTACATTTGTCTTCAATACAGGCAGACTATATACATAGATAAATGTAAACTGTATCAACCATGGCAGTCTACGAAAATAAAACTCGTGTTGCACTTCACTATGCCCCTAAAAATAATTTATGTTGATGAAACTTAAAAGGAAAATTTGTCCTCCTGTAATACAAGGAAAGTATATCACCTTTAATCTGTGAAGAAAGGAAAAGTTTATTTAGGCCCCTAAATACAGCTATATTTTTAAAAAAATTAACTAAACCAAAAATCAAAATGATTGTCTACTAAAAAGTTAAATGTCGGTCTACTATGTCGACTTTGAGTGAAATCGATCAGGAAGTTTGACTTTTATTATTAGAGGACGGACATACATGGAGGAACAAAGAGGAATGGTGGTTTTCGAGATTTTGTACCTTAGAGATACTGCGGCAAAATTTCGTAGATTATATATGGTTTTTCTTCGAAAGCTGAATAGACGAGGGTACAAAACTTTGTTTTACCACGTCAGGGGCACTCGCCACACTGAAATATTTTACACAGCGGGCGTACTCAACAGATTCAGCACGTCTTCGAAAGTTGGAAAAATGATCGGATACGTAAGCTCCAGAGCAAGTAGGCCGTTTTAAAGGGATATTAATATATCTTAAATCACCAAATAATTTTAGCTCGTTTTCACTTTCATTCTGGCCAATCGTAATAAGACAGAAACATAATAAGAGTTTCATTGTTTTCATTATATCAAGTCAGTGCTTTCAATTTATCAAATGAAATATACGGAATTAGAAATTAACTGCCGAGGTTACGAATCTCAAACAGAAGTTAGGATTCTTATCGGAAGACATCGAAACTCAACAAATCCCTGCTGTGTGAAATTAAATTTCAATTCCTATCCATTACTTCGAATTGCCACTTTGAATAGACTACATCATTTGTTCCATATACCTGCAAAGATGTACCCTACTACAATGTCTACGCAAGGAGTCTTGTTAGTGAATGATTGGTCTGACCACCCACGGACAAGAGACCCTTGTATCATTCAGGACCGGTATTTAGCGGTAAGTCAATTTACAACAGCCGTCACACTTAACCATTAATTACAAACTGGAAGATACTCAAGCCCTGCAGACCGCGAGGCGTGCTAACTGGAAACAATAGCAGAGAATTTGATTACAGTTGCGGCCGAACTCTAATTTTAATTTTCGAAACCCTTATTCCTTACAACGCAATGCTTGGCCAAATAAAACGTATTTTATCATCCTTTTAGAGGTTTTCAAATGTTTTCTTCTCGTCTTACAGAACGTTATAATTGTACCTGCAGTTTTTTTTTTACGAATTGTAAGAATTAATTTAACTTACAGTAGTGTCCAGTGTTTATCTTTTGTGAACGCTATAATGGCTCCCATGAAAGGAATTGATTTTCTGAGCGATTAACACCTTTTTAAGAAGGATTCTGTGTCATGGAGCTATCTATTGTAAATTTATTTAACTTCGAATTAAATAATGACACAAAAATTACTGGAAAAGAAAACTTAGTAGCCTATAAATATTACAAGAACGAAAGACTTTAACTCACTATCAGCTGGCTTTTATTTACATCACCAGAAGCATTTCAGTGTTTCACTATTTATATGTTTGGTTAAATATTGTACATTACATAGCCCCTTTACGCACTATTTGAGAATTCGTCAGACGGGACTAAAGAAATGGAACGACACAAGACAGGAAGCTCAGATTCGGTACCAGAATACAATTTAAACAGATCAACACACCAGTTCACCCATTCGGTCATAAATCTGTCTATTTATGTGAAATATCTTTAATCCTGTACGAACATCAAAGAGTTCAAGATATCTCACAGAGAGGGCTCTCGCATTTCGTGCTATGACCTTACTGTGTTCGATCAACGTGAACTACGAGGTGGTCACTCACTAGAACGCTCTGCCATCCAGTTTTTATCAGATAAATTCCTCAACGTTGTCACTACCGTCGTTTTGTCTAGAAAGGGATATCCATGACCTCAGACACATAAAGTACCACCATATAGCATCAGACAGTTTGCTAAAAAACTGGAATAGACTATTTCAGAATGTACAATAAACGGTTGTCTCCACAGACAACTACTTATAACTGCACGTCTGTCATTTTTCCTAGCAATTTTCTGGAATCGCTAGTGTCAGTTGCTAGACAAGCTAGACAG